TTATATATTATTCATAAGTACTATAAAATGTACTATAAAATGTCCATATGATAAACATAATGTGCATAATTAGTGCCGTCAATAGCCACTGTGTCTGGCAGGCAGAGGAGTCCCTAGGGTTGGTGTCACCCGTTACGGTAACACTTGGTGACACCCCCTCCGACGATCCCCGCAGAATGGATGGGATCTGCGGATTGAGCATAATGGATTGGACCCCGATCCATTATGCTCAATCCGCAGATCCTATCCATCCTGCGGGATTGTTGACTTTCTTTACAACTTACCTTTTCTTGGAGCAGGTCTGGAGTAGCGGCAAGATGTGTCTCCCATGTAGATATGTCCCCCCTGAAGCAACTGCGCATGTCCCGATTGAAACATGGGAGACACATCTTGCCGCTACACCGGTGTCACCCCCCCAGGATCCATCCTGCGGGGATCGTTGGCTTGCTTTACAACTTACTTTTTCGTGGAGCGGTCGGTGTCACCCCGTGCGGACCGCACCCCCCCGCACGCCACACTCACAACACAAAAGCACAGTCAGTGATATCAATAGCACTCTAATACAAACACATGGCTTTCTACCAGTCTCCACCATACAGCACTCCCCATTCAATATGGCTGCGGAATGACGTCACAGATGTGGATTTACATCCACAGGCAGGACTTTCTCAGTAGCAATTTGAATAACATTTGAAGTGAAACATTAAAAAATGCTAAATTCCTTTAAATAACATGTCATGGGGGGGGGGGGGGTCAGGGGCTTTCACCTGCATGTGAAGTGGTGCATCATTCTGTCATATACAACCTACTACAACAACATAGAAACAAATTTTAAATTGTTTGCAAAATAAGTAAAAAATACAGTAAATATGAATGTTTCATATAATCCTAGTACAGCACCAGACACTTTTAGCATCTTCCTCTGTAGCTGCATACATAGCAAACAGGTCAAACATATGAGTAAAAAAATACAGACCTGTGTGTAAAACTCCAAAAGACTAGAAGATCAGAACATTAGAAGATGCTGTTTCTCATACGCGTTTCGTGGAGTGTGCTTCATCGGGAGATCCTTTGGTGCTGATGGTAAGAGAGGTGTAAAACATTTACCTACATTGATATAATACAATATATGAGATTTTATTGTTTGGTTTAGTGTTTGAGTTTGGTAGCACCTAAAAAAAAAAAAACAATTTTGCTTGCTTATAATACCCATTCATGTCTATTTTTTATGTAATTGTTGGCAATTTACAGCTTCAGCTACTTTACTTTTGCCTGTAAATGAACAACCGGGATTCCTTTCTTATTTAGGATAAGGGTCTGGTATAGATTTTTTTTGGGGGCTCTACAAAAATTTAAATTGGGTCCCCCCAATTTGAGTACTGCTTGGACCTTGAAGAAGGGGACATACCCCGAAAGCTTGTCCTCAAAATTGTTTGTTAGTGCAAATAAAAAAAGTATCACGGACAGTACTCAATTGTTTGCACTAACATGGTTACAATCACCTCAAGCAAAATTGGGTCCCCCATAATTCCGACTAGAGCCTTCTGGTCTGCTATCAATTTGAAGGGGGATCCATGCAAAAAAATAAAAATAGCCAGGGTCTCCCCTTCAAATTCCACACCCGAATCCACCAGGCATAATTTACCACTTACTCATTCACATGAGGGTAGTTTCTGGGTGCCCCCTTAATAGAAATCCATGAGTACAACCTTGTCTATAAGCATTACTAGAGTACATTGTAGACAGCATCTGTATTTTAAGGTCATGGAAGAATGTGTGTGATTTACATTCTACGGCCCCATGTGCCCATGTGCATGAGGTCAAAATCCGATCTCTGCGAAATACAGTGTAGTTTATGCAAATAGCGGTTGTGGTATTGGGATGATTATACCTATGTGATAGATGTTTCCATGTGAGCTCAGTCCGCTTCGGAGTTCTGTTTCAGGGCTTGCTGGCCAACTTTTATTAAACAAAACAAAACGCTCACAAAGACATAATTTGCCCATACACACAGGGGCGGACTGACAACTCATGGAGCCCTCGGGCAATAGGGGATCATGGGTCCCCCGTGTCCTTACCCAAACTCAAAAAAGCCTATGAAAAAAGTACCAGGGGCATCTCATGGGGCCCCCTATTGACCCCGGGCCCTCGAGCAGTGCCCGAGTTTCCAAATGGTCCGTCTGCCCCTGCATACAGGGGTTCTTCAACATCAAAACATGAATTCAAGAAAAAGCTTAGCCCACCTGGCTATGCTTTCACAGCACTGATGCTATGCCGCTGGCTCTTCAGGCTTACTTAGCCTTGTAGATTGCAGCACCTCATTGCATCTATCCACACTCAATAGGAGCCCACCTAACTCCTGGGACAAGACCTCCTGTTTCCCGACTCCTGGCTATGGCACCTCTGACTACTGGTTGAGACCTCCTATCTCATAACTCCTGGCTGGTGCACATTTGACCTCTGGTATAGACCTCCTATCTTATAACTCTTGGCTGGTGCACCTTTGACCCCTGGTAGAGACCTCCTGTCTCCAATATGGGAGGCCTGAGCTTGGTATATAATGACCCTGCACACCTGTGTACTTGCACAGACTGCAGGCATCCAGATAAAATCCAGACACAGAATTGAAGGTTCTGTCCCAAACAGGGGCGTCCCTAGGCAGGTGGAAGCGATGCACGCCACACAGGGTGACACCTTTTCCACGGGGTGACACCGAATCCACTACACCAGGGATGGACTGACCATTCAGGCACTGCAGGGCCCCATGGGAGACTCAGTCCATCCCTGTATGTGTTGCTGCTGAAATAAGCAAGCATTGAGGGGACGGACAGTGAGGCAGGCACTTCGGACACCTCTCCTCGGAGTTTCAGCGAGGGGCGGGTCCACATCCCTGCCAGAGGTGCTGAAGTCGGAGAGCTGGAGGGGCGGCCAGAGTATGCAGCAGGTCAATGTGTAATCCCCGGACCCTGGTAACAGCACTGCAGCTTTATCTTGTAGGTAGGGGGGGGGAGAGAGAGAGGGGAGAGAGAGGGGGAGAGAGAGAAGGGGGGAGAGAGAAGGCAGAGAGAGAGGGGGGGGGGAGAAGGCAGAGAGAGAGAGAGAGAAGAGAGAGAGAGAGAGAGAGAGAAGGCAGAGAGAGGGGGGGGGAGAGAGAAGGCAGAGAGAGAGAGGGGGGGGGAGAGAAGGCAGAGAGAGACAGAGAGAGGGGGGAGAGAGAGAGAGAAGGCAGAGACAGGGGGAAGAGAGAAGGCAGAGAGAGGGGGGAGAGAGAGAAGGCAGAGAGAGGGGGGGGAGAGAGAAGGCAGAGAGGGGGGGGGAGAAGGCAGAGAGAGAGAGAGAGACAGGGGGAGGGAGAGAAAGGCAGAGAGGGGGGGGGGGGCAGAGAGAGAGAGTGGGGAGAGAGAGAAAGGCAGAGAGAGAGCGGGGAGAGAGAGAAGGCAGGTGGGGGGGGGGGAGAAGGCAGAGAGGGAGAGAGAGAAGGCAGAGAGAGAGAGAGAGGGGGGAGAGAGAGAGAGAGAGAGGCAGAGAGAGAGAGGGGGGAGAGAGAGGGGGGGCTTGCTTTAAAACTTACCTTTCCGTGGAGCTAGTAGAGAGATCAGTTAACCTCGTATAGGTTGCAAGCCGACGATCCCCGCAGGATGGATGGGATCTGCGGATTGAGCATAATGGATCGGACTCCAATCCATTATGCTCAATCCACAGATCCCATCCATCCTGCGGGGATCGCCGGAGGGGGTGTCACCAAGTGTTACTGCACCGGGTGACACCAACCCTAGGGACACCTCTGGTCCCAACCAAGACACTTTGGAACCTTCAAGCTCCAGGTTCCAATCAGAGACTACAGAACCTGCGGAAAGCCAAAAATACATCTTGCTCCTCTCAAAAACTATAGTTTGGAACTTCACATTAAGCCTTAATGTGAATCCTGTGTAACATTCTACTACATGTTCAGTGTGGCTGGGCCTCTCATTGCCACAAGGTGTAACTTGCCTACAGCCTCACACAGCCATAGTCAGCTGTATGCAGCAGCTGTGCATTATGGGCATGGAACAATGTCCGCGATTTACGTTCTATGGCCTCATGAACCTATGTGCATAAGGCAAAAATCTGATCTCCAAGAAAGCACAGTGTAGTTTCCCCTTTAAAACTTTTATTAAATACCGACGGCCCCTTCGGCAAATATCCGTAGCCATTGGGATCCAAAGCGTTTTGTGCAATTGACTGGAATAAAAGTTCACAATTTATGTCACCTTTTATCTACACCAGTAGGCTGTACTGATATTGAACATAATTTAGCTTGCATTTACTGGCATTTGACTGAGCCGAGATTCTATATGAATAGCTCAATACCAGCGAAAACAATATATCATATATTCTTGGCAAAATATATCCCTGACTGATGCGATAGATTTCAAATAGCTAAGCTATAGGGACACCTCTACTTTTCAGTAAAAAAAAAAAAATAAATCTTTTATAACCACTTTGATTCATACAATTTCAGTCTTAAAATGCTTCCATTCTTTCACAGCAAGACATCCCATGTAAATCTTTAATGATCACAGTGGGGGAACTGAATTTATCTTAAGGTAGAAGGTAAAATACTCTGGAGTTAAATTGTTTGAACATATTTGGCATTTTGATTTCACAGTTGAAAGTGTTTATTAATACGGGGCGGCTGCCTTGTTTCATTTTTAACTCAATGGTAGGTCTTGTAAGAGTTACACATCATATTCATTTGTGTATAGGAAAAAAAATTGTTCTGGAGGAAGTTAAGGTAAATGTGTTCGGCTGAAAGGGAAGCAATAATGCTTTTTTTTTTTTCCAACCAGTACATATCTTGAGTTATTTCTGCAACAGTCCCTGAAAAATAATTTCAGATATTTTCAACATTTTTTAAAACTCTGTGCTATTTTTATTTAAAAAATAAAAAAAAGAAGCTTTAGTTGCAATGCAGACTTTCTCTCTGTGTGTATCTGCAATACTTAGCCTTTGCCATGAGATGTTCTCAATATTCTGGGCTCATCCCAGCCAGTGTTATTCAGGATGGAAAGACTCAAGACATACTGTGAGTGCAGAGCATTTCTGACCCTCCCCTGAAAAGTTGTCATTATGGTGTCATAGCCCCTATGCACTCACAGGGCAGGGGCGGACTGACCATTTGGAAACTCAGGCACTGCCTGAGGGCCCGGGGTCAGTAGGGGGCCCCATGAGATGCCCCAGGTACCCTTTTCATAGGCTTTTTTGAGTTTGGGCAAGGACACAGGGGCCCCATGATCCCCTATTGCCTGGGGGCCCCATGAGTTGTCAGTCCGCCCCTGTCACAGGGTAACAAGACAGTGAGTCCACTGTCCAAAACCCACCTCTTTAGAAGGTATAAGGATGAAGAGGACACAGTGCATTCTGTCACCGGTCTGTATACACCAGAAAAAGTGGTACAAAAAAATTCAAAAATAAGCATAAAATACATGGATGTGATCGCTGAGTGGTGGAAAGGGCTGAGTTATGAACATTTCATTTAATGAAATTGAATGCAAGCTAGTCAAAATTGTTGTATCTTTTAATGAATTGTGGAGAAATGTGCTAGCAGGGTTGAAGGTTTTGTGCAGTGCACAGTGGGCCGCATGTATGTGGAAGGGTATGTACCGTGCACAGTGTGCCGCATGTATGTGGAAGGGTATGTACCGTGCACAGTGGGCCGCATGTATGTGGAAGGGTATGTACCGTGCACAGTGGGCCGCATGTATGTGGAAGGGTATGTACCGCGCACAGTGGGCCGCATGTATGTGGAAGGGTATGTACCACGCACAGTGGGGTCTTCTGCTCTCTTGTGGAGAAATGTGCTAGCAGGGTTGAAGGTTTTGTGCAGTGCACAGTGGGCCGCATGTATGTGGAAGGGTATGTACCGTGCACAGTGGGCCGCATGTATGTGGAAGGGTATGTACCGTGCACAGTGGGCCGCATGTATGTGGAAGGGTATGTACCGCGCACAGTGGGCCGCATGTATGTGGAAGGGTATGTACCGCGCACAGTGGGCCGCATGTATGTGGAAGGGTATGTACCATGCACAGTGGGCCGCATGTATGTGGAAGGGTATGTACCGTGGACAGTGGGCTGCATGTATGTGGAAGGGTATGTACCGTGCACAGTGGGCCGCATGTATGTGGAAGGGTATGTACCGCGCACAGTGGGCCGCATGTATGTGGAAGGGTATGTACCGTGCACAGTGGGCCGCATGTATGTGGAAGGGTATGTACCGCGCACAGTGGACCGCATGTATGTGGAAGGGTATGTACCGTGCACAGTGGGCCGCATGTATGTGGAAGGGTATGTACCGCGCACAGTGGGCCGCATGTATGTGGAAGGGTATGTACCGCGCACAGTGGGCCGCATGTATGTGGAAGGGTATGTACCGTGCACAGTGGGCCGCATGTATGTGGAAGGGTATGTACCATGCACAGTGGGCCGCATGTATGTGGAAGGGTATGTACCATGCACAGTGGGCCGCATGTATGTGGAAGGGTATGTACCGCGCACAGTGGGCCGCATGTATGTGGAAGGGTATGTACCGTGCACAGTGGGCCGCATGCATGCAGCAATGGAGCAACATCTCCAGGATGGATACCATTGGGACAGATGTGAGCGGGTTGCCCTTCTGGAAACTCACGTTAGAGGTCATGGAGGAGCAAGTTGGAACACTGGGCAGATCTGACAACCTTGAAAGGGGTCTTCTGCTCTCTGAGCAGGTAGCTAATGGGATTGATGTGGAGGGTAGAGGGGCTAATCAGGATTATCAGGTAGGAAGATGGGTTTACTGTAAGGAGAGGGAGTGGTAGGGGCTCACAGAAAAGGAAGGCCGGCCCCGGGTTTGAGCACCCAAACAGATTTGCCAAGTTGGATGACGATGTGGGGGTGGCAAGCTCAGAGGTGGCAGCCCTCGATGTCACTGCTGTCCCTAACAGCTGGGAGGGCAGACCATCTGGGGGGGGTGAGGGTAGTGCAGGAAGGCCTAGACAGCTGGCGGGTAGTAGGGGATTCTATAATCAGAGGGACTGATAGAATAATTTGTCACCAGGATCGCCTCAACCGAATGGTTTGCTGTCTCCCTGGTGCCAGGGTTTGGCATGTGATGGACCGGGTTGATAAATTACTGGGAGGGGCTGGGAATGACCCAGCTGTCTTGGTTCATGTTGGAACCAATGACAGAATACATGGAAGGTGGAGGCTCCATAAGAATCAATTTAAAGAACTAGGCTGCAAGTTGAAGGGAAGGACCTCCAAGGTGATATTCTCTGAAATATTACCTGTGCCATGCACAACTCAGGAAAGACAGGGGGGAGATTTGAGAACTCAATGCATGGCTAAAGACCTGGTGTAAGAGGGAAGGATTTGGGTTTCTTGAGCACTGGGCCGACTTTTCATTGGGGTGCAGCCTACATGCTAGAGATAGTTTGCACTTAAATGGAAGGGGGTCTGCTGTGCTGGGGGAGGGGTTTATGGGGAGGCTGGAGGAGTATTTAAACTAGGATGGAGGGGGAGGGAGAATTAGATTATAATGGGGCAGTTAGATCAGACCGGGGTCAGTACTTATTGGTGGGTGGAATGGGGAAAGATGGGGGAAGGGCTATGGCAGATGATAAGAAGGTTCCCATGTTACAAACAACCAGTGGAATTGGTGCCATTTATATGTATAAATAAAAAATATGCAAAATACGTGTGAACAAGGTGTCAATGCAATTAAAGTGTTTGTTCACCAATGCCAGAAGTCTGCCAAGAAAAATAGTGAGTTGGAAGCTTTGGTGCATGAAGAGAACTAGGATTTAATTGGTATTGCTAAATCGTGGCTTCATTCTTCACATGAGTGGGCCATTAATATTCCTGGTGTCTGTCTCTATGTGAGAAGTGATCTCAGAGTGAGTGTGAAAGAGGACCTGGTTGATGGAGAGTGTGATGAGGCTGAAGCATTATGGGTGGAACTGCACATGGGGGTGCGTACTACAAAGGTAATCACTGGAGTTTGTTATAGGCCTCCCAGTGTGAATGAGGAGGTGGAAACTCAGCTCCTTGCACAGATCAAAAGGGCTGCAAGGGCTGGGATAGTGATAATTAATTATTATTATTATACAGTATTTATATAGCGCCAAAGGGTATGCTCAGCGCTGTACAATAGCAAGAGGGACAGAACATGAGACAAGACAGAAACAATACAATACACGAGGGGTTCCTGCTCTTTTGAGCTTACAATCTAGGAAAACTTTTTCATTAGCCTTGGACACAGTGGGAAAGGGTTAAATCCAATGTCATTTTTTTTTTTCTTGGCATCTGTTTCACGATGGGAAGATTGGATCTATCATCCAATTTCTATTGGACAGGAAGTGAAGAAAAATTATGAAGTAAGAGGAGATCACATTTTATATTGTGTATTCATCTATTCAAGCAGCTCTTTTACATATACAGTATATTTTACATACACATCAGTCCCCAATACTCAAGGAGCAGACAATCTAAGGTCCTTATCTCATATTCATACATACACCTACTAGGGCTGATTTAGACATAAGTCAATGAATCTACCAGCATGTCTTTCGGGTGTGGGAGGAAACCAGAGGAAACCCATGTAGGTATAGGGGGAACCAGGGGCGGACTGACCATTTGGAAACTCGGGCACTGCCCGAGGGCCCGGGGGCAGTAGGGGGCCCCATGAGATGCCCCAGTTACCTTTTTCATAGGCTTTTTTGAGTTTGGGCAAGGACACAGGGGCCCCATGATCCCCTATTGCCCGGGGGCCCCATGAGATGTCAGTCCGCCCCTGGGGGGAACATGCAAACTCCAGGCAGGTAGTGCTGTGTTTGGGATTCAAACCAATGACCCTAGTGCTGCTAAGTGGAAGTGTTGTTGGATTGTATATCACGATATGACGTGTATTATATAACAATTGTACTAATTGTAAATATGAAAGCATATATCAGCCACACTCCACACACTTAGCTGCTCTTGCCATATTTATTAATTGTCAACAAAATGACTGCATATAACAATGTCTCCAACTGGGACTCAAACTTTCTGATGAGTTTCACCACCTCTGGCTTGATCACAAAATTAGGGATGTCTCCCAATCCTTGTAAGCCAGGAGTGACGAAACGCGTCAAGGAAGGTTGATTTCCAGATGGAGACATACAAGTGTGTCTACAATCTATAACATACAGGTGTGTCTACAAGCTGAAAAAATAAACACGAAAGACCTGTAAAAGGGATTTTTTTTTCTGCCCATTGTGCCCATTGTGCTTGATGCCTAAAACCCATCAAAATGAAAAAATACAAAGATGTCATTTTTGACACTTAGGGTGCAGGTCAACCCTGGGCCTACAAAGGCCCCAATTGCTGACCTTTTTCTGAAAATGTTTGTTGTCTCTGAACATTTTATCCATCTCAAAGGCTCAAAAAGCATTGAAACTGCCCGACTTCCATGACAGCCAGGTAAATAACTTTTTTAAGTCGCAAATAACTGGTGACCTTTTTAAAGGGAGAAACTGGTAATGTCAGGCAGATTTGTCTCAATAATTCCTTAATGATTTTTAACGTACACCTATCTGGACTAAAGGGTGATTTTTATTTTTTTTTTCAATATTTGCTCTGGGTTTCAGTTTAAGTTTACAGTAGATTCAATTCCATTGGAAGCCCAAATGGATTTGCTGAAATATCTGATACGGCTGGGTAATAGCTAATTCTGCATTCTTCAAAAGGAGCCTGGCTGACATGTGAAACCCCAAGAGAAACAAAGCAAAACTTTTAGCTGAAATGTGTTGTACTATGATAATATGGGTGTCAATATTTGATGGTGTGACACCTTTAATGAAGCACATATGTGCCGTGTTATCACTAAATACAGCTATACCCAGCTGACTTGAATGGAAACTTTTAAACAAAGTCAGCATTCTTTTTGCTCATTACACTGACCTGTCAGAGATGACAGCTTAGCTGAGTTCTGTTATTTTTTACTGACAGGGAACTGTATATTCACGGCTTTTTAGAATAATGCCAGCTTTTAGAGGTGCAATATGCTGCACTGAGCTTAAGAAGGCTCATTTCTCTTTTGCTTGGCCCAAATAAAGACTGTCACTGACAGCTTGGCGATAGAGAGTGCTTAGTGAGTTCTTTGACAATTACTAAGGATGGGGAAGGAAAGTATAGCAGCTAAAGGTTAAAGCAGAACTCCAGACAACTGGTAAAGCTGAACTCCAAACAAAGAGCTAAATACACAGTTGATATACAGTAAATACCTGGGGGGGGGGGGCTGTTTGACCTGCAGAAGGATTTGTATTTCTGCCTATCCATTTCTAAAAATGACACAGCTCGGGCACACAGAGTAGCCCATGTAGCAGGGCAAGAGACCTCATGCAAGGAAGGTCCGATTTGCATCAGCACAGTGATGAGCTTGGGTTAGGGCTTAGGTTTGGTCCAAAATAAGTTTGTCATTGCTGGGCCAGGGAGTTGTGGGCATGCCCATATTATCTCAATGATGTCACAAGCATCTCCAACCCTTTGTACATGTGCTTGGGTTCAGACTTGGGTTTAGGCCAAACCTAAGCTGGTCCAAACTTGAACGTTAGCTATCATTGCCGATCCAATGCACTGTAGGTGTGCCTATATTAGCTCAGTGATGTCACAAGCATCCCCACCCCTTTATATAGGTGCTGAGGTATGGGCTTAGTTTTGGTCCAAACCCAAGTTTGTCTGAAACCAAAAGTTAGCTTCCATTGCTGGGACAATGAGCTTTGGGTGTGCCCATAGTAGCTCAAGGATGTCACAAGCATTCCCACGCCTTTGTATACATGCTTGGGTTTAGGCTTGAGTTTTTGGTCCAAACCCAAGTTTGTCCAGACCCAAAAGTTAGCTTTCATTGCTAGGCCAATAAGCTATGGGCATGCCCATATTAGCTCAATGATGTCATAAGCATCCCCAACCCTTTGTATACATGCCTGGAGTAGTGCTTGGGTTTGGTGAAAACCCAAGTTTGTTCAATCCCGAAAGTTAGCTGTCATTACTGGACCAATGAGCTGCAAGTGTGCCCATATTAGCTCAATTATGTCATAAGCATCCCCACTCCTTTGTATATGTGCTTGGGTTTGGGCTTGGTTTTGGACCAAACCCAAGTTTGTTTGAAACCAAAGTTAGCTGGCATTGCTGGGACATTGAGCTACGGGTTTTCCTATATTAGCTCAATGATGTCACAAGCATGCTCACCCCTTTGTATACATGCTTGGGTTCAGGCTTGAGTTTTTGGTCCAACCTCAAGTTTGTCCAGACCCAAAAATTATCTTTCATTGCTAGGCCAATAAGCTATGGGCATACCCATATTAGCTCAATGATGTCACAAGCATCCCCACCTCTTTGTATATGTGCTTGGAATCGGCCTTGGGTTTGGTTCAAACTCAAATGTGTTCAAACCTAAATATTAGCTGCCATTGATGGGCCCAATAAGCTGCGGTCATGCCCACATTAGCTCAATGAGGACACAAGCATCCTCACCCCTTTGTATATGTGCTGAGGTATGGGCTTGGTTTTGGTCCAAACCCAAGTTTGTCTGAAACCAAAAGTTAGCTGTCATTGTGGAAGAATGAGCTTTGGGTGTGCCCATATTAGCTCAATGATGTCACAAGCATCCCCACGCCTTTGTATACATGCTTGGGTTCAGGCTTGAATTTTTGGTCCAAACCCAAGTTTTTCCAGACCTGAAAATTAGCTTTTATTGCTGGGCCAGTGAGCTGTGGACATGCCCATATTAGCTCAATAATGTCACAATCATATGTGTATACATGTCTGGGTTCAGGCTTGGATTCAATCCAAACCCAAGTGTGTTCAAACCTGAAAGTTTGCTGTCATTGCTGGGCCAATGAGCTGCGGGCATGTCTATATTAGCTCACTCCTTTGCATACATGCTTGGGTTTGGCCTAGGTTTTGGCCCAAACCCAAGTTTGTCCGAACACAAATGTTAGCTGTCATTGCAGGGCCAATGAGCAACGGGCATGGCCATATTAGCTTATTGAAGTCACAAGCATGCTCACCCCTTTGTATACTTGCAATTGTGCAGCAGAAAATCTCCCCAACCCACTGAACCAGCAATGACATCTACAGTGCCTTAAAAAAGTATTCACATCAAATTTTCCACATTTTGTCATTATACAACCAAAAATGTAAATTTATTTTATTGGGATTTTATGTGATACACCAAACATAAAAAGTGTGGGGTGAATTTGTATTCATCCTCCTTTATCCTGATACACCTAACTAAAATCTAGTGTGCTTTGAATAAACTACATCATTAGCCATTCAAAGAGAAGATGCACTTTGTTTCTAGGATATCCCCCAAAATATAAAAGGGCGAAAATAGAAAAACATAGACACATGCACAGAATTCTGAAATATTCCATTTCCCATAGGTTTTTGTAGCTGGTGGATGTTAAGAATACCAAAGCAAAGGAATTGCACACATGGCCCTACTGGGGCTTGACACTGGAACTTCAGATCTTCTAGGCCAGAATGGTCTAACAACTGCCCTCATTGGCCCCTCCACCCCCAACACTAGAAATATCCTGCTCTAACTTTAAAGCCCAAAATGAAAATTGTTCCATGCAGTGGTGCTGCGCTCACACTGCAAGAGTTAACTTCTCATTCAGGTCTAGGAGAGCACAGTAAAGAAGATTTACTTACTCGATCCTCCTCTCCTCTGTACTGATAGACCTCAGAATCTTCTCTATTTCTGTCCAGTGGTATAAGGACCTGATGCCACGGTCCAAAGCCATTATGAGGCCGATGGACAGTCCGCTGCCAGAGCATGGGAGAGCGTTCTCTATCAGAGGAGCAAAGGATTAGGTAAGTAAATGTACCCTCCACTAGAATAAACAAGCAAGTAACCGTTGCAGTGCAGGCACAGACTCATTGTAAGAAAGAATTTTCATATTTCCCAAAGTTGGGCTTTTATGTTTCTTTGCCAAGTCATATAATTATGGCTCATTACTTGACCCCTAAGAAAAAACTAATCTAATTAGTGGTTTAGTGCAGTGATCTTCAAACTGCTGCCCTTTGCTTGTTATTATCTGGCCCCTAGGGCACTATACCTCCTATTGACACCATTAATGAGACACCTTTCATTTTGCAGACAAAAGCAGTGGAGCACTATTCCTCCCATAGACATCAATGATGGGGCACTATTCCTCCCATAGACATCAACGATGTGGCACTATTCCTTCCATAGACATCAATAATGGGACACTATTCCTCCCATAGACATCAATGATGAGGCCCTACTCCTCCCATAGACATCAACGATGTGGCACTATTCCTTCCATAGACATCAATAATGGGGCACTATTCCTCCCATAGACATCAACGATGTGGCACTATTCCTTCCATAGACATCAATAATGGGACACTATTCCTCCCATAGACATCAATGATGAGGCCCTACTCCTCCCATAGACATCAACGATGTGGCACTATTCCTTCCATAGACATCAATAATGGGGCACTATTCCTCCCATAGACATCAACGATGTGGCACTATTCCTTCCATAGACATCAATGACGGGGCACTATTCATCACATGGACATCAATGATGAGGCACTATTCCTCCCATAGACATCAATGACGGGGCACTATTCCTCCCATAGACATCAATGAAGGGGCACTATTCCTCCCATAGACATCAATGAAGGGGCACTATTCCTTCCATATACATCAATAATGGGGCACTATTCCTCCCATAGACATCAACGATGTGGCACTATTCCTTC